AGAGTTTAAAGTTTAAGCTAAAGCTTTATGTAAAGCTCAAAAGTAGCAATCCTTTCTACCTCTTTGACCTCCTCTCCAACTATATAGCTGCATTGCCCCCAGAAATTGAGAACATTGCTTGTATTTTTATAGCAACACAGAAATGCCCTCACATTTTCATCTGTCTGTTCATAAGTCTGTTCATAAGTCCTATTAATCTGAATCTATAAAGAAATAAAGGAAATAGCCTCTCTGGGAATGCTTGCTACGTTTTTACATGCATGACTCTTATCCTGCAGACTACTTGGGAAAATGAATTCAGCAGAGTCTAGTACTGAGCCAGACACAAAGTTCTGCCCAGACTTGATTCACATTCTTGAGATTATTGCTGACTTGAAGCTTTCACTCTGATTGGAGATGGCACGAGGAAATGGAATCTGGTAATAATTGGGCAGATCGTAGAGGTTCGCATGGCAGCTGCTGTTTGGTACAGATGTTCTCCTGCTAGTCACTAAAAATACCAAAAGTTAATATGTTTTCTCTGCCAAAATTATACACATTCCTCATTTTACTGTGGTTGGTAGGGATTTCTTTTTGGGAAGAGGTGAAGCTTTTCAGGTTCAGGTTTAAGGAAAGGAGTATTTCAGTTATGAAATATTCAACTAGAAAGGTTTGCAGTTCTCAAGCTCCTGTAAAGCCTCAGTGTTTGAACTGGTTTTGCAAAAGGTTCCATAAAGCCTCCCTTTTGGGCACGAATCTTCTTACATGTACATTTAATTATGTACATATATGGTATGTTCTATCTTTGTGCAAGGATGACTTAAGCAAGCAGGTATGTGTCTTCAGAATTAGTTTCTGGGTGAGGCATTTGGTGACTGTTCTTGAGCTGGAAATAAATGCCGTCACCCAGAATTAATGATCCTGAAGACAAAGATGGTTAGACCTGAAGTTTCAAAAACCTTTTAGGAACTTTGCTGATGTTTGCCAAACTTGAAGAACTCCGAGAACCCCAAACATGAACTTTTTCCAGTTCACCCAGAGCAAAGCTCTCTGACTCTATGGGGGGGAGGGGATGGGCACTTTTTGCACATGTGCCATAGTTGTTTCTTTACAACATAGAGTTTCCTGGAGTTTTCCCTTTGATAGTCTGATAGGGAATTAGAAGGGACTTTGGAATGGTGCCATGCGCTTAAGAGTTTCATATAGTGTAAGAGACATACAGCATATGGGAATTCTCATATGCATGGAGGCTATTCCACATGCTGAGAACGAGTTGTATTTGACAAGCAAAGCTTAGAGTAACTGAATTAGGCCTGAGAACATTCTTGGATACTCGAGTACCTACCATATGTACCTCAGTACCTCCCACATACGGCCATTCTAGTTCGATACTTGACTACATGATTGGCGCTCTTCCGTGTACTGTGTTCGGTTCTACACTTACCCTGGAAGCTTTTCACATGCATCTTTTAAATCTATAGAAGTTTTTGTTGTTGTTGTTGTTGTTGGGGTGTTTTTTTTTGTTTTTTTGCTGTTTGGCTTAACAGAATGTTTTAAGACTTTTCTGGAGGGATGGAGGAGTCAGAGGCAGATACTGTCCGTTTCATCAGTGTGTTTTCTGCTCCTCACTTTGGTGTCACTTCTGCCCCTCCAAGTTGCTTGTCATTTCACAGGGACATTCCAGGAATTCCTCTTCATTTCTCCTTGGCTGGTGAGTTATCCCCCGGATGCCAGTGATTACACCCTGAACTCTTCAGCTTTGCTTTTCTTACTTCCTTTGTGTCCTAGCGGGGACTTCATAGATAGGGAAGAAGAGGGAAGAATGCAAAGTGCTTAAACACAGAGTGAACATTGTCAAATCACACAGGATTTTTTTTTTTTTAACTGAAGGTCCTGCTTTGCTGATGAATTGCTAGATTTTTCCTGGTGGAACAATTCTCTTATAATTCTATATTGTCTTTTGTCTTTTTTTTTTTCTCTCCCACAAAACAATACAGATTTTTCTATCCAGAAAAAGTTCTAACCTTACCCTAGCAAAAATATAATGAACAAATGGCCTTTTTATTTTTAATGCCAAATTACTCTTGCAGTTAGTGGTTGGACAAATTACACCGATAAGTAATAAGCATGAGGATCAGTTTTATTACCACCTTTGGACACTTGTTGATCTAAAAGTACCGTTCATTAGCAAAAGTAGTAAGACAGGATCAAACTATCATTCCTAATTAGGTCTTGTTAAAGTTCTTTAAAATTACCCTTCAAGCTCATCCAGCAAGGAGCTTTACTTCCCATGAACCTTTACATACAATATGTCTTTTCAGTCACAATATTAAACCAAATAAAAACAAAAGCAGCAACAAACCTCCATAAGAATTTGTTTTCAGTTGCAAACTCTGTTTCCTTTTCCAGCCAGGCTGCCTTCTCTGTTTTGCAGATATGCGGGTATACCCACCAAGCACAGAAGGCAGCTCATTTGAAAGTAGTGAGCAAGAGTTTCCAGCCTTGACTGAGGGCTGTAGAGAAAGCCAGATCCTCTTCCTGGCCTTAAAAATGGGTGGGGGAGGGGAACCCAGGACTCAAAGGGAGGGAGGAGTATTCTCCACAGTCACCTGATGACCTACATGCTGAAACCATTCCTCTGGAATTTACTGGTAGTCCTGGTGTTATTCTATTTTAGCACCTTTGTAATTCTCCGGTTGTCTTTCCTAAAGTTTGTATTTGGGAAAGATAGTCTCCATTGTTAAGGCGAGTACTCTTAGTACAGGGAGATCCAAGCACTCTCTGTTATGCAGAAGACTCTCATCCAGTCATAGGTCATGTTCTGAAGGCACCTGGATAAGCCTTTCATCCAGTTGGCCTGATTGAGGCTGGAAAGTAGCCACAGTGAGATAGTTGTCTTTTGTATGCGAGTGATTTCTAAGAAAGACCTCGGAGGCCCAGTTAGGGTCCCGGCCGTCAGAATTGTCGAAGCTGTACTCTATGAATTTGGGGTCATGTCATATCTTACTAACTTGGAAGAGCAGAGGAAGTCTTCATGTACATGTCTGGTATTTGTATTTCCGCTCTGTGATCTGAAATTTTCTGACTGTGCCCTCGGAAAAAGATTTCCAAACTGTTTACAGAAGAAGCTGAGTCAAAGTTAGACTTTGGACACAGAAATGAGAGAGGTTGCAGCTGAACTTCCTGGGACAAATACAGAAATAACCATTATCCCTACAAACAGTGATAAGCCATCTAATTTCTGATGCCTCTCAAAAATGTTTACATTAGTGAGCTGCTTGTGAATTATTCTCTTGACCTTAAATTTCTTCTAGTGGCTGAAAAAGCAGTCACAACTTGTTTTCAGAGACAGCGCCGTTCCAGTATGCCTGGAATATTTAAAAGGATTTGATTTTTTTTTTTAAACTCTAAACCCTTTAAGCTTTAGAAAAATGTCTTTCAGTTGTCAGTCTCTGTAACACCAGAGTCCTGATTCTAGATGTGTATAGGAAGCTACTGTAGCTGGTGAAAAGTTCTGGTTTAGATTTCTTCTTGGTTCCTAGAATGTTCCCTTATTCCTTGCTTGTAGACACAGCTGTCTTGAAGTTGTCCCCTGTCCGTCCCGAAAGCAGCTATCGAAAAGGCCACAGAGTTCCTGGGGTTGCACAGTGAATGCTAGAGGCACCCTAAGCACAGTAACTTCTAGGTCTCAGAAGCAGCCTCCTGAAGAAGGTTGTTTTGATAGAATTGTAAAAGATTATTTTAAAAGCTTCTTTATAGTATTTCTCTCCTCCTGACTTTGACTATCGAGGTTTTGATTTATCAGGGGACAACATGTCACGTTTTTCTGCTAGTCATGGAAGGTGATGTCAAAATGAAATTGGGTTTCAAAAACCTTTGGTAGCTTAGATTTTCTTTTCTCTCCTCTGGAGTCAAGTACCTACATATATAAAATGATTTTTCAGGCTATGCGTATAAGATGTTAGTATACTGAAAATGATTAAAAACAAATAAATAACGTTGGCGAGCTGTATTTAACTTTATAGTCACACCATTGTATAATAACTGACTTCGTGTAATTGCACATCGTTTGGGATTCTAAAAGAAACAGAAATTTTCTAAACAATGAGACATTTCTGTAGTTAAGTGAATTGGCTGGTAACTTGAATCTTTTGGGTACCCTGGATGTAACTCAGGCTGAGACCCTTGCGTCATGCCCCAGTGTCAGTCTCAGAGATGGAACTGTGTAGAAAAGTGAGTGAGATGACCCATATGGCATTTATTACATTCTTTAGTTACAACAGAGAGTCCACATAGGGTTTGGGGGTAAGTGTAAGTAAGCAAGCTCACAAATCAATGGCTTATCCAAGCATGTAACTTTGAGATGGGGTGACTCTGTGTTTACTACAGTGCTCTTTTCAAAGCTGACCCTTCCCTTCCTCCCCCACTCGTCCCATCAGAGATCTTGAGTTCTTGTCTCTTTCCCAAGAAGTAGCTACATTTATGGTGCTTGCTACCACTCAGCTTATAATAGCAATACAACCATAACCATAGTTAAGACTCATCAGTCCCTTACTACCTGCCAGTCACTGGCCGAGTTCATTAAATCTCAGGTGTAGGTATTGTTGTCATCTTCATTTTAGGATGAAGAATCAGAGACACAGAGTTTATATCTACCTTGCCTCCCTCCTTCAGTGATGGAGGTGGATTTGCCCACCAGGCCACCTGACTCCTGATGCTTCTGCTCTGTACTTCACCCAGGTGCCTTCGGGGACCCGGAACCATACAGATTTCTGCTTAAGGTCCTTGCTCCTCCCCTTGAATTTAAGACAGAGGCCAGTGAGGCTTCCTTATCTTCTGGTAGAAATGAATATATTACCACTGGGCTGTTGGTTGTTTGCATTCTTGTCTGAGAATTTGAGAAGGAATTCTTGAATGGAGCCTGTGATATTCAAGGGGTTTAACTCAAAAGGGTAGAGTTAATAGATGACAGATAAATGGGATTTTTTATCTGAAAATGTGTGTTTTTTGTTTCTTCTCAGGTTCTCCTTACTATGACAACGTCCGGCCTCTCTCTTACCCAGATTCAGATGCTGTGCTGATTTGCTTTGACATCAGTAGACCAGAGACTCTGGACAGTGTCCTAAAAAAGGCAAGTGCTGGAGACGATGGCACAGTGTGGGCTGGCCCATGTGTAAAACACAAACAGAAGGTTGGCTGGGGAGCTCCAACGCGCTGGTTAATGCCTCGCTGTATATTTTGTCATTAAAACATTGTAAACAGTGCTCTCATACTACAGCAGCGTTTCTACACACATGTGTCACAAGTTTTGAAGATGAACCTGCTTAAAATTTTCTTTCATTTTAAAGAAAGTAGATGCCCTTTAGAGAGCCTCTGTCTTTATCCTTTGGGTGGAAATGGTGCAGCCAAAAAAATTAATATTTGATTACTCTCAAGCAAGTGTTCCTTTTTTCTATCCTTCATTTCTCCTATAGATTGTGCCTGAATTTACAGGTTTCCTTTTGACCTCAGTTTAGATATTGATATGAACATAATAATAGCTGTTTTAATAAAGAAGCTGTGCTTCGGTTATGATGTTATTTATTAGAAATAGTACTGTTAAAGGAGGAATGGAGAAGGTGTGTTTTCAGACATTAGACAAGGTGAATTGTGATCCGATAGATGTCAGAGAGTGATAAAAGCAGTCGTTGTAAGCATGCTGCAGATCACACACCTGGTCCCTGGAGGTTTGTGAGCTTCTGTAGGTGGAGAAGGGACCTTGAGCAAGCTTAGGCTGGAAGCAGGGGGAGGTCAGGAAGAAGGGAGCCTGCTGCAGGGCAGATCATAGGCCCTAGGGAGGTCAGTGGGAGGGAGCCGTGTTCCTGGGCTTCCACCAACCTAAGACAAAGCACCTGGCTAGCCACAGAAGGCGTATGCTTGTCCATGGATGAGCATGTATAAGCCACTCACTGTTTCCTCAGTCCCGGCCTGAGTGCTGTGACGTTTCAGAAGCAGATCCGTCTGTAGGTCACCCACCTCTTCTCTAGGCACTAAGGCTTAGATGGAGGCCATGGTTGAGAGCAAAGTCATGTTTCTGTATTTTGCTTGTTTTTATTACTTTACATTCCTGTTATATTTGACTGCTCATCTTAGATGTCATTATGAAAGTAGGATTTGAAGGTGATTTATTCCCCCCTCACTTCGGTCTCTTTACCAAACATGACAAACACAGTTAGTTAGCTTCATGAAATGAGAGTTTCTTGAAAGATCAAAGGCTCTTTTTAACTCCTTTCAATTTTGAGTTGTGTGCTGTCTAACACAGATAATGCTAATGTTTGTCAGATTGGGGCAGGAATACACCTTTGCTGTCTTCAGTGCTTGTAAACAATTGCTAGACAAGCAGAAGGAAGCCTGAGTCATTACACAGCTGAAGAACAGCAAAACGACACATCTACTGCTTGTCTGTAGATAAAAGAGATTGCTTATTTACTGGCGTTTTTACCTGATGTAGTATCAGGTTATGCATCATTTATGATGAAAAGCCTTGCTTTCCTTTTATTTTGCTTTTGTCTTCGAAGAACTAATGAGTAGTGACTTTGGCCTTAGAGATATTAATGAATGTGCTTTACATTTGTGTGAAGTTTAAGGATCGTGATAACCCGTGTGGTGGTTTGTCTTGATTAATTGACTCTTTAAGTCCTTGAATATCAGAGAGTTTAGGGTGACGTAAAGCAGGATAGATCTTTTTTTTTTTTCCAGTTCATCTTGCAGTTCCTACTCCAGTGTCATCTAGCAAATGGTAGATGCTTCTAAATAATTCTGGAAGGAAGGGAGGAGGGAAAGAGAGGGTTGGCGGAATAACTAGGCTCTTGTGGAAAGCATGTTTTTTCCTTTTAGTCTGCCCAAAGTACACCTCGACATCTGGAGATGTCCCCTCTAGTGGTCTTTTAAAAGACTCTGGCAGGATGTCCCTCTTATCTAGAATTATATACATGACCTTGTCACCCGTGCTCTTGGGTGAATTCCACAGCTATGTCTTAATCATCTCTGTAATGACCACAGTACTTAGTAGATCACTGAATGTGCAGTTGTGTGTGGGGACTGGGCGAACCAGCCTGGTCCCTGATCTTGGCCCTCCATTCCCCCGTCCCCAAGAGCCTGGGCTCTCCTGGGAACACTCTGAACCCCTGACTCCCATCCTGATGGTCATCTGAAGCTTGAGGAAATGAAACCACAAAAAGTCAGCTGTTTGCCCTTTAAGAGGACAATTGGAATTCCCTCCTAGGCATTTCTGGAGGTTCTAATAAATCTTGCTAGGTCACGAAAACAGCTAGCCAAATTGGACTCAATTGAAATATTAAACAACTTATGTAATTTAAAACTAACTCAAAGGCATACAGGTGTAGGACCGGAGGCCTTCCTGATAGCCCAGAGATGGGCCTTTGTAAATTTCATGATCACTGTTGATTCAGTCACTCGAATGGAAGTTCCTTAAAGACAGGACATTCTGTTTATTAACATTGTCTCCAGTCCCTGAAATCTCATTGGAAATTTTGGCACATGGTGGCTGTTCAGTCTTTCTTGATGGGATTCGTGAATGCATACTTGTGCTTGTGTTGGCTTTGCCTTATTCCCAGCCTTCCATGCTGAGAAGTACCAGCTCAACATATCTGAAGATACAGTCATGTGTTAGAATATATAATTATTCCTAAGACACTTTTATCTTTCAGAGATACCCCAATAATTAAGAAATTATTGAAGCTACTCTCTGACACCACTCAACAAGTCTCTTGCTTAGGGATAGGTAATGAGTCACAGAGAGGGGAAGAGATAATAATATACATAAGCGTTCCTTAATGAATCCACTTTAAAAAGTAGTAAAACTTAATAATCCACTCGAAAGATAGAGGCAAGTTTGCTTCTTCATCTGAAGTGACATTTTCTTTTAAATGTTCTTTTTGAGTCCCCATTTCTGACGTCTGCCAGTGAAAGAATTGTTTGTTGATATATAGATGCCGGCACTATGTTAATTTTTCATCTTTCTTCTCTCTTCCCACACCCTCAGTGGAAAGGTGAAATCCAGGAGTTTTGCCCCAACACCAAAATGCTACTGGTTGGCTGCAAATCTGACCTTCGGACAGATGTTAGTACATTAGTAGAGCTCTCAAATCACAGACAGACACCAGTGTCATATGATCAGGTATGTATGTTGTCACTGTACAAATGTGGATTTCAAAAAGAATGACAGAAGTGGAGCATCACTCATTATAAAAAAAGGAAAAAGCAGCTGCTTTTCTAAAGGCTCAACGAGTGGTCAGCTCCAGGTTAAAGTGCACAGTGAGTGTCATGTGTCCGGATGGAGAGCATCTGAAAACCACGGAGGAAGGGGCTCGCATTCTTTGTGCCCATGCCTTTACATCGAGCATCCCAGCTCCTCATGACAGCCCATAGCTCAAACTGTGAAGACTGCAAAGTGATCTGGGGCAGGGTTCAGCTGAGATGTTGATGGTACTTTGATGCTGGACCCTCTCAAAAAGCGTTCCAATATTTTTTTTAGTAGTTTACTGTATAAGGATTATAAAAGGATATGTGTGTGTGCATAAGTAAGATGAGTTTGGAAAACATCTTTTAAAATGAGAAGTGCTCTGTCATTCAGTAGAGTAATCACATGATATTTGGTTACTGAGTATATAAACAGTGGGTCATATCCTACCCTTTGTATATCTCTGCAACTCTCACTGGGTTTAAAGTTAAATAGACCTAAGAGAGAATGTGGTCAAATCAGTAATACTCTGTGAGAAAGTTCATCTTACTTTACTCTAGGTGGCACAATAAAATACTTAAGAGGGACATTGCCAGTAAAGTCGAACACTCCATAAAACTGTCTTTTAGAGAGTCAACATTTCTGTGGGCATTTCCCCCAAGTATCTAGAAAGAATTGGTTTCAGAACTTCTTTCTCCTAAAACTTAACAACCAGATTCTAAAGACAGTTCATGTTGAAATAACCAGAATTTTCCTTAGGATTCATCATTTTAAATACTGTAGTCATGTTTATCTTAACACGTGTAATTAATAAAAATCTAGTTACTTAAATAAGTCATTTTGTGCACACATGCTTATTACTGCATACACTGGTTGTCTGGTCCATGTTTAGAAATTCTGTATTTTGTGATTCCCAAAGTTATAGGATCATAACAGTGTTATTCATTTCCTCAGTTTATTTTGGCCCTGAGACATAATCACATACATTTCAAATTTGATTCTAAATTCCACCCCTTACCCTTATTTTCTATACAACCTATCGACTAGTTTTAAGTACCATTTAGACTCAAGAAAAATCAGGCTTTCGTACCTCCGGGAAGTCAAGCACCATCTACTGAGTGGTGATGATTGAACATTTTAGGACCGAGTCTTGACTGCAAATATTGATGAAATAATATTGTTATTACAATATATTGTGAAAGAATGCATTTTAAAAACTGGAGGGTTTTTTTATAGCAACACTTGGAAAATACAGCTCACATATTTGAAACGTTTTGCGATGCATTATTATCCTGCGGTATTAGGAAGACACTATAACTTCCCCAAAGACTTATTGCTGATTGCAATCCATTCTTTTGCTTCTCAGGGGGCAAATATGGCCAAACAGATTGGAGCAGCCACTTACATCGAATGCTCAGCTTTACAGTCAGAAAACAGCGTCAGAGACATTTTTCACGTGGCTACCTTGGCATGTGTAAACAAGACAAATAAAAACGTTAAGCGGAACAAATCACAGAGGGCCACAAAGCGGATCTCACACATGCCCAGCAGACCAGAACTCTCTGCAGTTGCTACGGACTTACGAAAAGACAAAGCGAAGAGTTGCACTGTGATGTGAATCTCCCATTCTCTTTCACGAGGACAAGGACGTCTAGTGTAAAAAACACAAACAACGAAACAAAAAGGTGAAGTCTGAATGAAGCACACAGCCAAAGTCACATATTCTGGAGGCTTAGGAGGTGTTTGGAAAGATGCTCATCTTTTTGGAATCCTGTCCTTAGGTTCGGCATGTAGAACAGGCAGTGCAGTGAATACATTGAAGAGTGTTGAAGTGTGACTTGAAAAATATGCCAAAAAAGAGAGATTCAAATGGGCTAGAGGTAGGTAAAGAGGAACGAGAGGACCTCCAAGAAGAAGAATCACGCTCTGAATGGTGCTTGCGTTTTTTTTGTTTCCTTTGTTACAATCTCTTCATGGATCTCTACTTTGATTTAATTTTTAAATGTTTTAATCTCCTTTACAAAAAAGTATATATTAATATACCGTCCTCGCTGGGGAACTGGCACTGTGACCTTAGCGTTTAGTTTTCTAGAGGATGTGATCTAATTTCCTCCTAGCTCATCATTAAAATGGAAATTATATCAGGACCCATGGGATATCCAGAGGAAACGTTTGCGAGGCTTTGAAATCTTGCCTTCCTGAAGATAGCTGAGCGAGATAGCTCTAAAGAAAGGCTTTTGGAGTCTTGCAAGATATGCAGACCAGCACTACAAAGATCAAATCGATCAAATAGAAGAAAAAGTGTCCGTTTTATTCAGTCTGATGGTTCTGTTCATCATTGTGATTGTCATTAAAAAGTGGTAAATTGCTCAATGTAATATTTTTGTGCGCTGTTTAGAAAAAAGGGTGTGTGATTTCTTTTGCCATCATTGATGAAAGTGCAAAGTCTAATGAGAGGTGTCTTGGTTTGATGTCATATAATGATCCAAGGGGGGAACATGTAGGTACTGTTTTCACCAGAGAAGATGATGAAGGAAGAGTAGCAGAAAGCACAGTTTGTGAGTAAAGCTGTCTGGAATTAAGTTACCAAAAGTACAAAGCAAAAGGCCTAGTATTTTGGGATGAAGCTCCAAAGTTCGACAGCATCTGATGATCTCTTGGTTTATTTCACTTTCTTTAAAAGAACATCTCTAGGAGAAGGACCCTCTTACCCAAACTTTAGAGAATCCTTAGAAGAAAAGTGTGTGATGTCAGCCCTGACGACACTAGGGCATTTCCAGAGAGTGATTGCTTAACCAGATTCCTCACTTAACCAGATTCAGCCAAGGCCGGTGTTCACTACTTGATTGCTGTTGTTGTTACGGAAAATAGGAAAATAATCAGCGTTTAAAATAGTTTACAGATATTTTTTTGACCAGTTCCTTTTAGAGCTTCTTTCAGAGAAGAAACCAGATCTGACCTGTTTATTGTTGGCGCTTGTTGAAAAACGAGCTTTCTTTCCAGTGATAAAGCTTCATTTTTGAAGTGTTGAAGCTGTGCTCCCGTTAAATTGTAGCAGGAGAGGAGATTAAGGTAATTACAACACTCAGTTCTTTGTCTTACAAGCACTTTGTTTTGTCTCTGCAAGAAAATACCATTCCAGTCATTTCCCACGAAATACAGACGTTTTACCAACATAATATGCTTTGATTGATGCAGCATTATGCTTTGGGCAGTATTACAAAATAGCTGGCAAGTGCTTTCTGTATTTAAATATTGTAAAAAGAAAATAAGTTATAACTGTTATAAAGCAGAACTTTCGTTGCATTTTTTTAAATGTTGAAGTCACTTTGTATGTTTGTTTGGTCAGTGTTTCCGCAGTATTTATTAAAACATACTTTTTTTTTCTTCAAATAAAAAAGTAACCATGTCTTTGTCTAAATGGGAGTTGTCCTTTATTATCTACTTCCTGGATCAGCTGTTTGGTTTTGTTCTTTACTGGAGATGACTGGAGATGATGAGAGCATCATCTCCATTTTTTTTCTCAACTAGCAAGCTTTGGAATTTTTTGATAATTGCCAGTAGTGGAAGCTTCTTGGGCAACGCTGAATCTGCATAGATAAAAGGTTTTTCATAATGATTTCAAATCACAAGAAGAAAATGGAGTGTTATCAGACTAGCTGGTTTAATCATAGACAGAAAGAGCTACAATACTGCATAAGATTAAAAAATTTGGAAAAAGTTTTAAAATGATAAAGAATCTGGAAATTCCTTGAACTCTAGTAGTGAGACAGTATGAGGCAGCCTCAGGTCACAGGTTTAATTCTGCTTATGAGCCTGGTTTGCTTTCCTACCTTTGTCCCCCTCTACCCTCCAATGGCCCTCACCCCTCACCCCCAGCCTCGGTCCCTAATCCGGCCATCCACCTTGGATTGCATGTTCTTGTTCTGAGGCCCATTGTGTAGATGACCCAGGACTTAGCTATTAACAACAGTTACAGGGAAAGGGCAAAAAAGAGGCCCAGACAAAATGGCCTTGTTTACGGTAGCAGCATCTGTAAATAACACAGGGAGACCATAGAAGCTTCTCCAGTGACTTGAAAGATGTCAGCATGGAATAGCATTGAGCCAAGAGTAGCGCAGGTCCCCATAAACCCAGTTGGTTCATGCTCTTTAGCTAAAACTCTTACACACAAGTTTTACATAAACGTCCAAAGATATTCCTTGTAGGACTTGAAACCTCAGCACTTCTCTCTGTACAGCTAAGTCACTTCATAGGAAAACTGCATCCTTGTGGCTTTTTAAAAAATGCCTTTAGCAATCTTTGGGGTACAGTTCCTTGGAAATAATTCTCAGAAGCACCAACCCAAGGGGAAAACCAGAGGAGTTGGCATGAATGAATGAACAAATGAAAGGGCATTGACATAATAGGATAGACTTACAAAAAAAATGCAAAAAGAATTACCAAAAATGTAACTCATTCTTGTCAGTAAGCAGTAAAGGAAATAAAAGTACTTTCCTAATCCTTGGTGTTGAGTAACTTCTAGGCTTAATATCTAAGTCAGGCTTGCAATAAACTCGTTTCTCGACAATGACTGGCAGAGAGGAAAAAAAAGAAAGAAAGAAAAGAAAACAGCTAAGGTTCTGCTGACCTTGGCAGTATTTTATAGGTTGTACAGTAATATTTCTCCCTAGTGAATTGTTCTTTTCCAGCGGCTTTAATTTGTTAAACCAAAAAGAAAAAAGTTTGTCTCCAGCCCTGGGCATGTATGCCTTGCTTTTCTCCTCTGCCTTTTTGCTTTAGCAAACATTTATTCTAAGCGTCCTGTGAACATTCCTTTCTATTGATTAATGATCATGATTAATGCCTCTTTAAATACTAAAAGGTGATTTTCAAACTTTGAGTAAGACTTTAATTGTGTCTCTCTCACTTCTATAAATCTTTTCTAGGAATAGTTGCTTGGAAGATTCTGGTCTTTTAGAAAATGTGCTGTAAGTGCAAATTTAGAAATAACCCAGGGAATTGTTTTTTATTAAAAGGAATAAAAAAAAAACCCACAAAATCTCATTCCCTTAAGACTCCTGAAACTCTGAGAGCTTCATATTCTCTTTTTGATGGGCTATTTTGACATTAGTATTCTGTTTTAAATCTCCCCAGTTTTTACTGATGTCATTCTTTCACTGACCACATCTTTTGAGCACCAGCTCTGTGCCTGGCACTTTCTTAGGCTTGGAACGTAATCACCACTAGAAAAATCTTCATCCCGGAGAGGTTACAATCTAACAGAGGGAGGCAGTCACCATGTCTGGGTGTGATTGCTATGGACATTAACTGAGCCATAGATGCTGGGCTGGTGGTAAACATACCAACATGTAGCCAGGTACGCCAATCCAATAGCCACATGTGTCACACCACATTTCCAATGCTGTAATACAGATGCGGCAAAAGGGATTTTCAAGTGCATCCTAGTCGCTGGAGTCCACATACAGTGATCGTATAAGAACAATGTGAACAGTGGTTGCAAGTCATCATTCTAGGGTTTGTACAATGACTTAGATTTCTGCGGCTGATTAGATGTCCAGTGGGAGAAAACGTCCTTCCCATACTGAACATGAATGACCCCCAGTCTGTTTCTTATAAAATGTGTGGGTGTTGTTATAGATTCGTACCCTCCTTCTGTGAAGTCTTTGTTGAACATACTGGAAAAATGAAAATGAAATACAGTTTGAAATAAATGAAATAAAACTCCATTAAAAAATGAAGTGAACTCTCAGGGGATTACAGAATTACCTCAGGGCGTTTTGGGTGAAGATGAACCCATTATTCATCTAATGTTGAAAATATGTGTTTGGTGGGAGTTTAAAAACTCTTTTTGAAAGTATTGACTGACAGTGAATTCTAAAACTGTTTGTTTCTGACCCCTTTGGGAACACAGGAAACAAATTCTAATGAACCTTAAAACAAAAACTTTCAGGATTGGGAAAGCCAATTCACTCTGGGATTTTTGTTTTTTCAGATTTTATTTCTTTTGAGGGGAATCATTAGTGCCTTTCTTCCATGAATAGTGAAATACTGACAGTGGGCCTTTATTTTTAACAAATTAATTTTTAAAAGGCATTCTACAATGGAAATGAAAAGTAGGTCAGTGTATGGTCAACCTTGTCAAAGTATTAGTTACCACTGCAATTGCACAGATTCTAAATGGTTTATATAATAACTCATTCCCCATCACCAATATATTCGGTAAGTTAAGCACCATCAAGTTCCTCTTTTTTAGATGAGGAACCAGATATTTTCTTCAGGATCACATGGAAAACCCAAGATCAGAACTCAGGAAGGGCAGTCTGGCTCCTCAGGTCCACCCTCTTCACCTTAACACTATCTTGCCACAGAAAAATCTTTCATGTGTATAGTGTGTGTCCCAAGTGCATGAAAGCTGAACATCATGGCCATGCATCTGCTTGCTGAGCCAGTGTGAATACCTCCACCCTGATCTCCCTAGGTCTGTACCCATACTAGCCTTTCCCATGATTCTAGCAACTTCCCAACTCTCCTCACACTCTTGTTCCCTCTTTCACTTCTGCCTTTATTTCTCTGCCTGTTTGCCCTGCTTCTTGGGTGGTGAGAGCATTCTTAGGAGACAATGAAAGGACCTGTCTGCTGAGGTTGCCATAACAAAATACCGAAGACAGGGTTGCCTACACGACAGATATTTATTTGTCACAGTTCTGAAGAATGGAAGTCAAAGATCAAGGTGCCAGACCATTGTGTTCCTGGTGAGACCTCTGTTCTTGGATTATAAATCCACCTGCTCACTATGTGCTCACATGGCCTTTCTTCGGTGTGTGTGGAGATTGAGAGAGAGATAGAGAGAGATTTTCTTCTTCTTCTGCTTCTGCTGCTTCTTCTTCATCTTAAAAAGCCACCAATCCTATTGGATTAGGACTCCAACATTTATGACCTCCTTTAGCTTTAATTACCTCCTACAAGCCATCTCCAAATGTAGTCACTTTGGGGATTAGGGAATCAATGTATGGATTTGAGGGACACAATTCAGTCCATAGCAGGACACACAGATGGCTGACACATAAAGCCTTTCAAAATCCAAGGGAGCCAATTAGAGGAAGGAGCTACTCTTATTCACTTTTGGTTTCCCAAGAGCACACCCCCAGTAAATTACTGTTTAGGATGTTGAAGAGTAGCTAGAACTTACTTTCCTACACAGGGTACTGACATAGTTATAGAGAACAGAGATGGACAGAGAAAACTTGACTCAATTCAAACAATGCAGTGATTCCATTTGACTCATCATCACCAGGGTGACTTACCTAACCACAACCAAGCTGGGAGAGAAATGTTACATGTACCTGTTATCAGGATCATGTAGTA